AACTCGTTGACGTAGTTCTTCCATGCTGTTGATGGGGAGCAGCGTTAGTCGATCGATGGCCGTTTTCCCACGAGATTACCGACGGATAGGAGGCAGAGGGGGGAACAAAAAAAGGTCACTCACCATTCAGGTCTGGCAAGACCACGGTAAACTCGCGATCATGCCGCTCTTGCGCCAAGTCTTCAAGGCTGGGCCAGAGCTCCCTGCTTTGGGACTCGCCTACAACATTGCCCTCGGCCACCAAGTCGAAGCCGTCTACATTGTATCCCAGCTCCGTCCACGAATCAAACATTCGTTCAATCTCGTCCTGTCGAAGGGGAAGCGGTGGGTGTCCCGGGCGGCCGCGCTCGTCATCCCGCGGTATCAGGATCATGATATTCTTGCCCTTCCATGGTACCTTCTTCTTGATTCGGGGCGCGGCGGCCGGTTCCCTGGGCAAGGGCTTCTCTGCAATTTTGGGGGCGGGCATCTCTGTGTTCCCGGCCGCAGACTGCGGCGCTTCAGCATTCGCTATGCCGTTGCGATGCTCTGCAACAGGCGGGCCTACCACTGAGCCCGTCTCGGTGGCAGCAGCTGAGCTTTCCATTTCGTCGTCAAGATCGGCCTGGGTATGGTCACCGGCCTTGAGAGTCTCCACGCTGGAGATGGTGCGGGGATGTCGAGAGGTGGATCGAGACGATGTTGCCCTATATCGTCCAGAAGGCGTGGGCGTTCGAGGATCGCGGCGGCGATGCCAGTCAGTATCCGAGCCGCTCAATGAAGAGTGCTCGCTGCTTTCTCCGTCGCTGAACCACAGGCGAGCCTCGGTGCTCTGGTCGCCGGCGGTGTGGGTGCGGATCCAGCCCTCGGTGAGTCCCCTGTTGCGACGCCTGGCCCTGTGCACGAGCACGGCGGCAGCGGCACTGGTGGGCAGAAGCGGCTGTGCTGGGGTTTGAGGCCGTCCCCCGACGATAAGAGGCGGCGGGCGCAGGAAAGGAGTGCTGATGTCCAGGGAGTGGATGGGGAAGCTCTCGGACCCCTCACTCTCAGACTCGTCGTCGTCGCTGGCGTAGCTCTGGCGGCGGAGGTTGAGGTCGCTGCGCAGGTAGGGAGAGCCCCAGCTGGCGGTGCCAAACTGCTCGTCGTCCGAGGCGAGGCTGTCGTCGGGCTCGTCGTCGTCGTCGTCGTCGTCGACCCGGAAGTCGTGCAGGTCAAACGCCGGCGCCCTCAAGATTGCCGAAGCCCGTTCGGAGAGCTTGGGGGCGGGAAGCAGAGGCAGAACCGGAGACGACCCGATGTCGTCGTCCTCGTCGTCGGCCGTGGAGGCGGTCGACAAGGCGGGAGAGGTCGGGGTTCTCGATCCCTGGCTGGAGTCTCCGAGGCCGTCCTGCGCAGGTGCAGCAGCAGGAGGAAGAGGGATTGTCGACGCTGGGGTTGAAGACGACGTCGTAGCGAAGGTCTATACGGAGCAAAGAAGAAAGAGAAGAACGAAAGAATTAGTTACGCTGCACTTTTTTTTTTCTTCTAACAAGGCACAAGGCACATGGCGGTGTTGCTGCATCAGAAGCGGGACCACCCATACCATGCCGAGTCGGATTGAAGGTGTTGCTCACCAGGTGAGATCAGCGCAGACGAAAAACGTGTTCGCCTGCAGCTGATTCTCAACATCCGCCTACTCGAGGTCCCTCCGCCTAGTATTTACTACTCGCGCCCAGTCTTTGATACCGACCGTCGACTGCCAGGGACACCCTTCCAAGGATAATTAACAACGGTCAGAACAACAGCACCGGGTCGGCGCCACCTGGGGGGGTGTGAAAATAGGTACGCGACGCGTTGACGAGCCGCCGGGGCAAGTATTAGAACAAAAAGCCTGGGTACTAAATAAGAAAAGGGGGGGCGACGGGCAAACTGGGGACAGGAAAAAGGCGCGGGTTGTGTCTGTGTGTGTGGTGTGTATCTGCGTATGCGTATGTGTGTAGCAGGTGTAGTGTAGGTGCGGTGCGGTGCGGCGAGCAGTATAACGGAGTAGCATCAAATCAATATGCGGCGTCGGGAATAGCGAGCGCAACGGCGAATGGCGGCAGCTCAGGATCTCGGCAGCCTTGCAAGAAAGCGACGGGACAGGGCAGCTCGAGGACTCATCTGGAGACGGCGGGTCTGGGGGGCCGAGGGCGAGGGCGAGAGGCAGCAGAGTCGAGTGGCAGTGGAGGATTGGACGGCAGGAGATGCAGGACGCAGAGAGACGCAGCGAGATGCAAGACGGGAGGCAGAGTGGTAGAGGAGAAGAGGAGGGGGAGTGAGCAGACTGGCCAGCTGCACGGCGAAGGTACCGGACAGCAAGGCCGGGTGTCGTGGCCCAGTGGCCAGCGAACAGCGAACCGGCAGCTCCAGCGCCCTGCTTTTGGGCCTCGAGGTGTTCCAGTTTGGTCTGCACTGCGACCAGGCCCAATGGCTAATGCCACTTGGAACGGCCACATTCGATCGTTGCTCCATATTGGATGCCCGTATTATGGAGTCGCGGCCAGAGGGCAAGGTAGCAGCGGCAGCACTAGTCGCAGCAAGCAAGCACCTTGAGAGGCGGCCGGTACGTGTACGTGTACCTTACACGATACCTTTTGTTACAACAAATCATGGAAGCAGCAGCATTTGACTCGGTTGCAGGTATCTACTATAACAATCCGTCGTCAACCCAGAGCACACCAGTGGCCAAATTGGAGGTTCGAATGCGGTCCGGCCAAGTCCCAGTGACGCGCAAGAGCAGCCCGACGCCATGGCGAGTGACAAGGGTGGGGACGAGCCTCGGAGTACAGAATACATCCACTGGGTGTTCTTTCACAGGTGAGAGCATTGCGTTGCAGCTTCAACCGCTGTCCTTCTCCAACACGGAAAAAACGTTCCCCCCTGCTTGCTTGACGTTACTCAAGAAAACAAAACTGCCAACAAAGCCCAGCTATTTTTATTCCTGCCGTACCTGTAACGCCACCCCATGTGGCCTGGAAAGAAAAAAGGTGGGCGCCATGCAATGTTCGAGCTGTTGTCAATTCATCGGAGGTGCGTGAGATTCGGTGGCTGAAGGAGCCCAGAAAAAGATGGAAGTGCTGGCGGTGGACCAGCGGTCTGTCCGTTGGGACGCGGAAAATCCCAGCGAGCGGCAGTACCCGGTACCTCTCCGCGTATGGGGTGCTTGTACTTGCGGAGAAAAGACATGTGGAAACGCTTGGTCAAAGAAAGTGTAAAGGTCAGCAATCCTTGACTTGCCAGAGAAGTAGAACTACTACTACAATTCTTTTGATCACGATATGACTGTAATCCAATCCGGTAAGTCATGCAAGAGTGATAGGAAGCTGCTCATAAACATGAAAGAAATCACTCATGCGCTGCCTCCAGCGTGTATCCAAATGCTGCTGCGGGAGGTCACTCGGTCACTCGGACCCTCGACACGAACGGCTAAAAGCTGTCACGCTGGTCGACGAAAGGTGATTCACGTGCGAAGCGCGCATCAATGCTGTGATTCTCATGACCATCCATGCCGATTTTGGCGACGCTAATATGGAGACATTTTCATCCTTACGTCGTCATTGCCAACGGTTGTATGTATCATCGAATGTTGTTCAACGAAGACTTGCTCGGTTGGGAAGCAAAGACAGCCTCAGCCATGCCAGCTCAACCAGCACAGTAGGTACTCGTACTGAGACAAAACTCATTTGAACGAAGAAAGTACCTGTTACTTCCCTAGCTCCAGGGGTTCGGGGTCAAAAACCTCGGGAACTAAGACCCCAAGAAATAAGGCCGGAGCCACACAAAACATCCCACGAAGCTCTCCAATCCCACAGGCACACGCACAAAGTAGTTGTACTGTAGCCCGAAAAATGGAAGCCACTGAAAGCCACTGAAGCCACATAGAGCTCTATTGTGGAGTTAGTCTAAACGCTCAACTCTCTAACCTCGCAGGAATATCCCTGTGCCTCTTAGATGAGCAAAACAGCTCGAACACAGAGAAGAGAAGAGCAAGAGGCAGAAGAGAGAGCAGAAAGAGACGGAAGAGGGGGGCGTGTACCCAAAAACCGAGAGAAGCGGCAGAACTCCGTACGGGCTGCCGTGCCCAAACAGAGAAAACAGCATGGATTGCGATTGATGAAACGCGCTCGCGATGCAGCTTTCACAGCGGCTACACTCTATTAGTCCTGCATCTGTCCAGATGGAGCTGTGCGATTGGCTGGGGATAGCCTCACGTAGCAGTGCCGGACAAAGTAAAGAGCTCCGAGAGACGCGGCATCTGCTGGAGCCCCCCCCCCCCGCGGACCTGCTATTTATTACTGCCTTATAGGATGCGTGTATTATCTGTGTGTATGTATCTCATGTATGTACATGCGAGTAGGATGCAGCTTTTCGAAGCAAAAGAGAAGCAGGGCGAAGGCCTTCGTAGCTGCGTGTGTCTGGAGAGTCGAAGCACATCCGGATTGCGTAGTTCTATGACTGCTTCGAGTTGGGATTAGGTAGACATGAAGTTGGCAAGTTGGGTACCAGTGTGCTGGAATGTTATGACAACATACCGCCTACGTCAACTCCCTACGTCATCAAAAAGAGCAGATGAAAGGAGAAAAAGAGAATGGCAAGAGAACACACGAAGAAGAAGGGGGAAGGGGAGTACTATAGAGGGAGAGAGGAGTTGGCAGAGTCAAAAGCAAGGGAACGCCAGATTGAGATTGTCTCTGCAACAATGAACCAGCATTTCGGATCCCTCATTCTCTCCTCTTCTGGAAACATAAATGGAACGAAATCGTCTTCACACAACGCTGCCATTCTTCTCCAGGGATTCCAAGGGAGACAAGGGAGACAGGTTGCGATAGCGTCGTAATCTTGATGCGACAACAGCTCTTCCAATCATCGGTGTAATAGACGAGGCCACAAGCTGTAATCAACCAAGTAGCAAAGGCTGACAAGTGTAGGACATAAAAAGTAAATGTATATTCAGTATTCCAAGAATTAGCTAGGTATCACGCTTTCTTTCCGTAAGATATAAACAGTATCGATTCTATATGCCAAGCAACAGAAAATAACAGGGCTTCGCTATGCAGTTTGCAAACCAGTCTCGCATAAACGTATAGTAGCCTCACTCAAATCTTTTTCTCTTCTTCCTCCCCTCCTACAAAGTCTGCGGCATTGGCTGCCAAAATCTTCTCGACATACATCGTAAACCACGCTCAGAGGTGGACCGTGTCCGGCATGCTGCAACAGCCGCGAGTATATGAAAACAGGACCAAAAGTTTCACCGCAAAGAATCTCTAAAAGTTGGCCGACGCATTGACCGGCTGGTGGTAATTCTCCAGCGTCGACTGGAAGGGATTCCGCGCGCCCGCGCCCGCGCCCGATGAACTACCTCGGGGAGACTTCTCCGCACCAGCGACGAGGTCGGCGTTGTAGGCCATAGTTGTACGCCATGAGGCCGTCGGCTTCCTCGGCGTGCTTCTTGCGACCCCAGACTCGGAAGGCAACCAGGATGAGGGCACCGAGAATAGCGGCGCCGCCGACACCCACGACGACACCGATGATGGTGTTGCGAGTCTTGGTCGACATGCCGGTGGGCTTCTGGTTTTCCGCGTTGAGGGCTGCCGTGTGAGTCGTCTTCGTCGTGGTAGTCTGGGTCGTCTTGGAGCCGTCGCTGTTAGTCATGGTGACGACCTCGACCTTGGTTGAGACAACGGCAGACGGCGTTTCGCTGGGGGAAGATCCGCCCTTGCCATTGCCGCCATCACTAGTCTTCTGGTCGCTGCTGCTGTCGTCGCTGCTGCTGTCGTCGCTGCTGCTGTCGTCGCTGCCGCCGCCGCTGCTAGACGTGGTCGTGGAGGGGGGAGTTGTCGCGGATGGCGTAGGGCCAGCAGATGACGTCGAGTCGGGGGCGGATGTGGTAGGTTCAGCCGTGGTTGACGCAGGCGAAGAAGTGCTGCCAGGGGCAGGTGTCGCAGACGCCGACTCCGAGGTAGAAGGCGGAGAGCTAGGAGAAGCAGACGTGCTTGATGATGAGTCGTCGGCGGTGGTCTGCTGAGCTGGCGTAGAGCTGGGGCTCTGAGATGGTGGCGCAGGTGACGGCAACGAGTCGTCCGCACTTGTTGATTTTTTCAAGTCGCCAACAACATCGGAAAGGTCCGCTCGTCGGATCAGGCCTCGGTGGTGAACCTTTTGGACATCCCACCAGTTGGCCTGGACCAAGCAGAGGATCGATACCACCACGACGAGCACCGAGACAAGCCTTGAGGAGTACATGGCGAGTGTTTCGTAGCGTGAGAAAAAGAACAAAGTAAGGAGAAGTTGAGTTCAAGTCAATGGAGAGCAAAGAACACTTCCGGCTCTCGTTAATCGGAGTCGAAAGGGCGCCTCAGATGTCAACCCAGAGGGATGGACGGATCGGGGCCGCAGGGCTGGCAAAGGCGATAGCTAGGGCTTCCCCCTCCTGGCGCTACGTCTCTATCGGACAAGACGGCTGATGAGCTGAACGTTGTTTGCTGTCCAAAAGGCTTCCCGGCGATGAGGTCCCAGGGAAAAGAGAGCGGATGGCTGGACCGAAAGAGTAAGAATGAAGGAAATGAAGTGCGTTTGTGAGTTGGGTCAGGCAGAAAGAACGAATGGCGCCGATATGCGAAATGAAGTGGATGACCTAATGGATGAAGGGTCTTGTTTGGGGTGCGAAAAGCGTCAGAACGAGGGACGAAAAGGAGAATGGTTGAGAAAGTGAGGATACAACCAGAGTGTTTTTAATATGGAGGTGACAGGGTTTGGCAAGCAGAGGGACTGGCGAGAGCTCGTATTCACGCCTGCGGGTGAGGGAACCCCCCGAATCCCACCAGCGCCGTGCCACCAATGCGAGCCGCTGCAGGCACAGCTCGCACTGGCCTGCACTGTGCGCGGATGGCAGGAACCGAGCCGACCGCTTTATTTTGGCGGCCAGGACGGGACTAGGGGCTCTCGGGGCAGGCCGCCCAGCCCGCTGCAGCCCGCTGCAGCCAGGTGGCAGCCCGGTGGCAGCCCGGTGGCAGCCCAGTGGTAGCCCAGTGCGGTAGCGCCCCTGCGCCTCACCAGTGGACCAGCGCCAGCCAGTGCGGGACGCGCGGCCTGCCACGGTGCTGCGGTGCTGCGGACCTTGTCTCTGCTGCGGCAATGACTGGCGTCAAGCTGCTCTCGGACTTTTCTTTGCTTGTTTTTTGTCGAAGCAGTCTGTTTCACGCCGCTCAGCAGATCTCAGCACTGAGTAGATACCTGTCGGGTCCGTGGTCGCCTACAGCAAACACCCGATGCCGGCGTCAACATCGAGCGAGAGACTCAAGGTACAATGCAAAGCATTTGGTTCACATTGCCTCGAAACATCAGAATCGCATCGCCGTCCGTGAGCTTCTAGCGCGAGCTATTATTAGCCCAGCTGTTTCTTGTCGCCTGCACACGCAGCTGCACGAGAAAGAGAAACACCAAATTTCAGTTGGCGCTGGTCCCTGATTTGATCGAGGTGAAATTGCAAGCATCACCAGTGCAGCCCCAGCCATTGGCCGGCTGCGCGTCACATCCAGCTTGCGGTTTGCGCACAGTATCGGAGGCCGTCTTCTCGCACTTGTCCTTCCGGTGTGAAGCTGTGACTCGCATACAGTATGAGAATCCACATCGAGACCCTGCATCGTTCTTTGTGCGGATCGGAAACGCATCGACTCACCTGCTTTGGCGCCTTGAGTGCAGATTGACGCCCGTAATTCGACTCTCTTCTCGCTCCTCCTCGCAGCTTCTCTTCCACCACTGGCACCTCCGACCCGTGACATGTCGCTCTCTGGGCCAATGATCCCCTGGGTTTCATCAATGTCGAGTCAGTACAAGGACTGTACGACAATCGTTGGCAAGCGTCTGCATGCCGCCTCTCCTGAGTGCTGCAGCTAAACCAATG